GCTTAGCAGGCACCAGGCCCTGGGCTCGACGTCTGACACAGCAAGGTAAAGAGAGAGAGAGAAAAAAAAGATAGAGGGCTGGGAAGGTGGCTCAGTGGTAGAGCGCTTGTCTTGCATGCATGAGGCCCTGGGTTGGATTCCTCAGCACCACATAAGCAAAAAGAAAAAAGCCGGAAGTGGTGCTGTGGCTCAAGTGGTAGAGCGCTAGCCTTGAGCTGAAGAGCTGAGGGACAGTGCCCAGGCCCAGAGTTCAGGCCCCATGACTGGACCCCCCCCAAAAAAAAAAGAAAGAGGGAGGGAGAAAGAAAGGAAAGAATTGTGCAGGAAGGAACAGTAAGATGGAGCCAGGCACTGGTGGCTCACGCCTGTAATCCTAACTACTCAGGAGGGTGAGATCTGAGGATCATGGTTCAAAGCCAGCCCAGACAGAAAAGTTTGTGAGACCCTTATCTCCAAAGAACCATCAAAAAGCCAAAAGTGGAGGTGTGACTCAAGTGGTAGAGTGTAAGCCTGGAGTCAAAAAGCTCAGGGACCGTACCCAAGACCTAAATTCAAGCCCCAGGGCTAGTGCATGCATGCATGCATGCGCGCGCACGCACACACACACACACGCACACACACACACACACACACACAGAGCCTAAATCATGGCCTCTCTGGGCATCTAGCCTTTCCCTAGGACCCAGTGTGCATCTTCTGAGAGGGGGTGGGGCCACATTTAAGCCCCACCCCAGCCATCCATCCTTGGAGGGACCAGCATCCTCCAGTCCAGATCTTAATGAAACCTCCCAGCAGTCAAGCCTCCTGCGCATTGCCAGTGCAGGGCACATGGGAGCCACTGTCAGATGTTGTGTGCCAGGTACTGCGTATGCCTCAGCTCCCCCAGCAGACAAAGCAGCTCTAGCAGGTACACCCTATTACAGATCCTTCCTGAGACACAGAGAGGTTGAGTTACTTTCACAGCAGTCAAGATCTGATGCCCAGGAGGTCTGGCTCCATTCTGTGACTGACCCTCCTCTGTTTGCATGCCAAGACTTTCAAGCAAGAAGGGAATAAGAAAGACACGGGGCAGAATGCAGAACTAGTATTTCTGTCAGCCTGGGGAACAGGCAGGAAGGGTTCGGGGGACCAAGGCGGATGGGGAGGGTTGGACTAAGCGAGGGAGGTCATACCTTCATTTAAGCCCTGCCACTCACTTGCTGTGTGTCCCTGAGCCATGTCCTACCACTCCTTGGGCCTGAGGCTTCCCATCATAGCAGCAGTGTGGACTGGCTGAAGAAGTGGACAGGCCTTGAGCTGCTGGCCCGTGTGCTGCTGCTCACTGCCTCAACTTCTTTTTGGAGACTGGGGACTGGCAAGGTGTGGGAAGGGAGGCTGCACACCTCAGGCAGGGGGCCTTGTGCTCCGACACGGCTGGCTGCTTGGGAGGGTTTGCTGGAGAAGACTCACACTCGGTGCCTTTCTTTGTTTAGTTTTAGGAGACAGGGCGGAGGGTGGACCTGATTTCAAACATTCTCTCTCTCTCTCTCTTTGCCAGTCTTGGGGCTTGAACTCAGTGCCTGGGCACTGTCCTTAGGCTTCTTTTGCTCAAAGCTATAGAGCTCTACCACTTAAGCTGCAGCACCACTTCCGGTTTTTTCTGTGTATGTGGTACTGAGGAATGGAACCCAGGGCTTCATGCATGCTAGGCAAGCACTCTACCACTGAACCACCTTCCTAGCCTCAAACATTCACTTGCTTGGGCCTCCCCAGTGCTGGAATTACAGACACGCACTACCATATACTCCACTAGGCCGAACCTAGAACCTAAAACCTGAACCTAGAACCTGAGCCTAGAACCTCCAGGGTTCTCTCTCCCCTCCTGGGTGTCAGATACCGCATACCTTCCACATTCAGGGCTGGCTTAGGATCCCTCCCCACTCAATTGACTTTGAGGGAGCTGGGGCAGGGGCAGGGACTGGTGCAAGAGGGAGAGGAGAGTGGGAGGGGTCCCATGGCACCCTGGGGAAGGTGGTTTGGTCTGGGCTGACCCAGCAGAGGGCTTTATAAAGCCACCAACCAGGACTCAGATCCCAAGCTGGGTGACCTTGGGCCAGTTGCTTGACCTCTCTGAACCTCTTTATCATCTTTGAAAACCACAGCGCATGTTGACCTGGAAGGCTGGCGGGAGAGAGCCATGTGCCTGGCTCCTACTAGAAGTTCAATGAATGAGGTTGCTATAATTACTTCTCACGAGTGGGGGTGGGCACAAGGCCTGGAGTCGGGCTTATATTTAGTCTAGAAAGGGGCGGGGCACCCTGAGACAAAGCAGGGGGGAGGGTGGTGAAGCCAATGAAACCCCAGTGGCTCTCCCCCCCACAGACACACCCCATCCCCCGGTGCACCAGGTCACCTTGGTGGAGAGGCAGCTAGAGACTCCATTACACGGGACAAACCTCAGTCCCCGGTGCTGCTAGCTTGTCCCGCCTCTACCTAGGGGAGGCTGCTGGGCTTAGCCCCTCCCACTGCCCCCCCCATTCCTGGGAATGGTTTTGCTGGGGTCTGGCTGCCAAGGTGAACCTGACCTTGGGTGAGGGGTAAGGCGGGCGTGGGGGGGGCTACTCAGACTCCTCCTCCCAAGCTCAGCACGCAGAATGAGTGTTGGGGCTGCAAATAGCCCAGTGGAATGAGTGACTCACCCAGGCTGGAAATACTGCACCCCTGCCCTCCCCTCCACCTCTCTGGCCGCACCCCTCTGCGCCGTGCTTCACTGGGGGAAATGCCTGGCACTCTAATTTCAAGTGCCTGAGGCCGTGGGGGTCAGTTAGAAAGCCCTCCAACTTTCCTGAATCAGCCAGCACTCCACCTTGCCCCTGCTCCTACACCCTGGATCCAGCTGGCTGAGCCTGGAGCTGTGTGATTTTAAGCCAGTTACTGGGCCTCTCTGGACCTTAGGGCCCCCATGCTAGCAGAAAGGCTTCAAGAAGGGATTTGAGGAGCTGGGATGAAGCTCAGTGGTGGAGCACTTGCCGAGCAAGCCTCTGGGTTCCACACCCTGCACTGCAGAACAAAAACAAAGCAAAACCAAAAAGCACAATAGACACCACGCCTGGCTACTCAGGAGGCTGAGATCTGAGGACCACAGTGCGAAGCCAGCCAGGGCAGGAAAGTCCTGAGACCCAGCTCCAATTAAACACCAACAAGCTGGAAGTGGAGCAGTGGCTCAAGTGGTAGAGCACTAGCCTTGAGTGAAAAAGCTAAGGGCCAGCACTCTGGCCCTGAGTTCAAGCCCCGGTGGTGGCATATGCACACGTGCACACACGCGTGTGCGCACACACACACACAGAGGCATATGCACACGCACCCCCCCCACACACACACAGAGGAAAGGACCAAAGCGGGCAGGGTTCTCTGGAAGGTGCTGGAGCACTTGCAGCAGCAGGTGAGTTCCCAGAGCCATTGGAGGCCAAAGGACGCCCATATTACTAGGCCTCAGTTTTCACGCCAGTCTACCTTGTTCCCCAGCTCTACTCCAGGCACGAGAATGGCAGGCTGGCGTGCGCTTCAGGTCTGCGATACAGTCCTTTATTGGGGGTACAATTATAGAGCCCCAACCTCCCATGGCACCCACCTGCCCCCACCCCCAGCTCCCAGGCTCAGGAGTGGGGCCACCCTACAGCACACCAGCCCCCAGGGCACAGATGCCGGCTCAGCTATTTATCCTGAGGACCCTGGGCTGTGAGCCACCCCTTCCCTGCCCTGCTGCCTCCCTATGGAGAACAAGCCAGAGTCATTGGGGGCTGCTGGGGCCCCCCAGATTTAAGGCTGATGGGCCAGAAGGAGGCTGGGGTTGAGCTCTCCTCCCCAGCAGGGGTGGGTGACATGGGCAGGTGCTTGGCCCCAGGAGGGAAGAAGGAGGGGAGCACCCAGGGTGGAGGGGGGCACTGTGATCAGCTAAGACAGGTGGGGTTCAGAACCGACCCTCAGGGAAAAGCCGGGCATGGGATGGCTCAGAAACTCAGTGTTCTAGTGAGGAGAAGGGAGACATTAAATCTGATTCTAGAATGTTCTGAATTTGGTTTCATCCAATGGTAATAATGTTGAGTATTTGAGGGGTGTGTGTGTGTGTGTGTGTGTGTGTGTGTGTGTGTGTGTGTACATAGGATTCATAGATGAAGAAGTGAGGACAGACAGAAACTGCCCAGAGAATGTTGCAAGAAGCTGGGCTCCAACCTGGAGTTCCCCAAAGTGCTGTGCATATCTTTGTTCCACTTGGGGTGGGTGGCGGGGATCCTGTCTGCAGAGGGAGTAGCCCCAGGGGTACAGGCTGTGCTGGTAGAGCAGGGGCAGCCTTTCCCCTGGCCTCACTCACAGGCACTGGCAGGTAGAGGAAGAGGAAGGCAGCAGTTTCACACCATAAAGCCCCATCTAGGGTACAGGTACCACGAGCCCTGCCCCGGCACAGCTGGCTGGCCCGGGCATGGAGTGGGGGGCAGCCTGCCAGCTGGTTTGGGGCTTAGAGAGTGGCAGAGGGAGATTGCTGTGATGTCTGCCTCCGTCCTGCCTTCCTGGGCCCTCTGGTGAGGCCACCTCCCCTTTTGGCCTCTCCCACTCCACTAAGCCTAGGGTCCCTGGTTCTCGGTGCCCCTTGCCCCTGGCCTGCAGAGACCCCACAGATAGGATTTGTCTGTCTGTCCTGCAGATCCTCTGCTCAGCCACATCCCTCTCCCCACCATCCTTCCCCCCCCTTCTTTGGGAACCTCTCTCTCTCCACCCCAACCCCTCGGATCTGAATTGTCAGACCATATCTGGAATCTGGGGGTCATGAGGGAGCCAAGGGGATCCATAGGCTGTGCTAGTTGGTGGGGGGGGGACAGGCCCACCTGGGGCCTGGGGGTGTAAGGGGCTGGAGCCTGAGCTGAGATGTCCTGGGGGGCCGTCGTGTAGGGGTTCGGGAGCCGTGGCTGGCAGTCCAGTTGTGGAGGAGGCGGGGTGGAGGGAGGGCAGGGCAGGGGAGGCCCTCAGATTTTGATCTCTGTCCGGAAGACCTGCTGGACGTGCTCTGTGTGGGGGTGCCGCCGGGCCCGGATGGTGAGGCTCCCGTCCTCCCGCAGGGCTGAGGTCACCGAGGTGGGGTCCACGTCCTCCGGCAACTGGCACTTGTGAGCGAAGGTGTTCATGACTGTGCCATCAGCCGCCAGCTGGGGGAAGGGGTGCGGGGTCAGGGCAGGCTGCCTGGGAAACCCACAGCCTCCCATCCTGATTCCAGAGAGGGGTCCATGGCCCAGTGCAGAGGGGCTAGGGGTAGCCAGGGGCCAAGGCCTATGTGGGAGGTGCAGAGGCGCTGGGAGGCCCTCCCGGGGTCTCGGGGTCAGGGGACTCTGTGCTGTGAAGCCGAGGCCAGGAAGCTGGGGTTGCTTGAGCAGTGGTAGGCAGGGGTGGGGGGGTGGGGGTGACGCCAGTTTGCCTGCCTGGATTCCCAGACTCTGCCTCCACCAGGGCCTCCTCCCTCCCCACAGCTCAGCCAGCACATAGCGTCCAGCTGCAGTCTGGCTGGCTGAGTCACTCTAGGGTGGCGAGGCTGGCACGTGCCACCACCAGTCCCCGGTCCTGGCGCCCCTGGCAGGGTTTCTGGGGAGTGCAGGGCAGGAAGCTGGGCCCTGGGGACCCGAGAGGCTTTGGCAGATCTCCCCTAAGACACAGGTGGCTTCTCTGTCACACAGCCACGCCTTCCTCCAGGACAGAGGCCTCGGGGTCTTGGTGGAGGGGGTGGGAGGATGGGACTCAGACTTAGAGCTTAGGCCTAGGTAAGGGGTCCAATGGGAGTGTGGTTCCGGAAAGGGGCTCTACAGGGTCTGGGCCTTTGGCTTTGGGATGAAGAGGACTGGAGGTGCGGCATGAGGGAGTGTCCCCCCCAGGTGAGCACCCCCTTTCCTCCCTCCCCTACTCCTCAGTCCAACATGGCCACATCCCTCATCTCCCACTCTCATGGTTCAGTCCCCTCTGCCCATGTTCCCCCCAGCCCCTCCACCCTCAGCTACCTAAGGCCCCCTCAGTAGATGAAATCTGGAAACTTGGTGGGTAGAGAGGGGCCTATGGGGGAGCCCCTGATTATCCAGGGGCCAAGGCCTTCAGTTTGACCTGGGGGACCTCGAATAGAGAAGGGACCCTGGGAAGACAGGAGGCCCAGGGCAAGGGGCTGGATTAGGCAGGTATCCAGGCTGGGAGTCAGGTCCCAGGGGTGGGTGGCACCACGCTCACCTTCTCGGCCCGCACCTCAATGTGGTTATTGGAGGTGGTGACGATGATGTCCTCCGGAGAGAAGTCTCTCACGTCCACTGCAAACTCATAGGCATCTCCCAGGGTCTTGATGTTGCCCGGCCCCCCAGGACGGGCTGCAGAGAGGGCACCATGAGCCAGGCACCAGGCAGGGAATGCAGCCAGAACCCAGCTGTCTGACCCGCGCTTGGAAATGGGTCTGGCCCCCAGGTCACCTGCCCTCAGCTGCCCTCCGGAGCCCCTCTTGACGTTGGCACAGATTTTGTGTCTGCTAGAGTTATGCTCACTCTGCATCAACCCTACCAGGGCCTGCAGGCTGGGGGGCGCCTCTACCCCTCAGTCCTTGCCGGCTCTCTGGGCTGTTTCTCGGCTACCTCTGGGCGGCCCCGTGGCAGGCTATGCAACACCTCTTGCTGGCAAGTGGACAGTTGCAGCCTTTGCAGGGGGGGGGGCGGCAGAGGAGTGCCCTGGAATAGAGATCCCCACCTGTGCCTCTCCCCTCCCCCCAGAGCCCCAGCACTTGCCTGGGAAGGCCAGAGGTTCCGAGTGGGGCCTTATGAAACTGCCGAAGTCCTCGGAGAACAAGCTTAAAGCCTTCTCCATGGGTGGGTCCTGGGCTGGGAGGGCTCTGGAGGCTGAAGAGGACGAGGAAGAGGAGGAAGAGGAGGAGGAATGGAAGCTTCGCTCCGCTCGGAAGGAGGAGGAGGTCCGGTGGCTCATTCACAGGCAGTGTGGGGGCCCTGGCTAGGCGGGCAGGGACTGGAGAGAAGAAATGTGTAGGTACAGCCCGCAGGGTAGCGTGCCGGGCCCTAGCTGCCAGCGCTTTATAAGGCCCGCCGGGCGCTGGGCTTGGGGCCAGCCTCTTGTCTCCTAGCTAAATTTAGGCCTCTTCATGGCCCAGAGGGGGCTGGAAATCTTCTCCGGAGAAGTGGCGTTGCTGATAGTCAGACACAAGGCAGGCCGAGCCGGAGGGCTGAGCTCACTCCTGGCATTCCAGCCCCAAGGGCCTCCGCACACCACAGGGCAGGGGGTGAATCTGTCGCCTGGCCACTCAGGGTCCTCTGTGAGGACTTTGATGTCTCCATGTTTCACCCACCAGCCTGGGGGCTCTCTAGGGATTCTGGTTCTCCAGGATCTGTGCCCCCTCCTTGCTGGTGGGGTGGGGGTGGGGGCTAGGCCTAGACTCAGAAGAGGGGGCAGATAATTTGGAGATTGTCTTTAAAGATTTAGGGGGGGTTGTTCCCAGTCACAGTATGCTTGACTTTAAGCTCCCAGGAGCTGCCAGCCGGCCCTGGACTTTGGTTGGGGAATTATAAAGAGACAGGCATTGTACGAGCTCTGATTTCTGGGGTACCTCTGGGCACTGGCTCCCTATATCAAGCTTTCCAGCACCCCACCTTCTGATTCCCATACAGTTCACAGGAAGGAGGTATGAAGCCCATTTTATAGACTGGAAAAAGCTAATCTCACAGGAAGGGAGGGGTAGGACCTGTGCAAGAGGCAGAGCTGGGGTTTGAACCCAGATGTGTCTGACCCAAAGCCTTTTTTTTTTTTTTTTGCTAGTCCTGGGGCTTGAACTCAGGACTGGGCACTACCCTTGAGCTGCATTTTTTGCTCAAGGCTAGCACTCTACCACTTGAGCCACAGCGCCACTTCCAGCTTTTTCTGTGGTCCTGAGAAATAGAGCCCAGGGCTTCATGCATGCTAGGTAAGCACTCTACCACTAAGCCACCTTCCCAGCCCCCTAGTTGTTGTTTTTTTTAACTTAACAGTATTGGAGTTGAACTCAGAACCTTGATCATTCTAAACAAGTACTTTACTGCCTGAACCATGTCCTCAGCTTTTTTGTCTGTATTTTCTTTTGCCTGAGTATATTTAATATTTTTATTTTAAAAAGATGTACCTGGGAGCATTGGACAAAGAGAGGAAGGACACATGAAAGGAGGGATGAAGTGTGAGCAAATAGTCATTATATTTAATGTACATTATATGAAAAACTAACAACATAACTTGTGGGTAGGGATGGGATGGGGAAGATGGTGTCTTTTATGTTTGAGTTGGTCTCACTAGCCAACTGGTCTAGAACTTATGATGCACCTGCTCTATCTCCATGCAGCTGGGATTATAATCATGTACTACCATAGTCCAATACCCCTTTTTAATTTATTTATTTTGGGGGTGTGTGCTGGTTCTGGGGCTTGCACTCAGGGCCTGAGTGCTGTCCCTGAGCTTTGTAGCTCAGGACTAGCACCTTACCACTTGGGTCACAACTTCACTTCCAGCTTTTTGTTGGGTAATTGGAGATAAGAGTCTCACAGACTTTCCTGCCCAAGATGACTTTAAACCACAATCCTCAGATCTCAGCTTCCTGAGTAACTAAGATTACAGGTGTGAGCCACTGTCACACAGCTCCTTTTTTACTTTTCTTTTTCTTATCTTTTTTTTTTTTTTTGTCAGTTGTGGGCCTTGAACTCTGGGCCTGGGCGCTGTTTCTCAGCTCTTCAGCTCAAGGCGAGCACTCTGCCACTTGAGCCACAGTGCCACTTCTGGTTTTCTCGTGGTTAATTGAAGATGAATCTCACAGACATTCCTGCCAGGCTGGCTTTGAACCGAGATCCTCGGATCTCAGCCTCCCGAGTAGCTAGGATTACAGGCGTAAGCTATGGGCACCCAGCCTTACTTTTATTATTTTTTTTAACGTACATGTAGAGACAGCTCAGCCAAGTTGACCCTAAGATGTCCCTCTCTATCCACTACTCTACTCATCAGAGCCATGTTGGATGTCACACTTCATCAGGGCGGGTCAGAAGATGGGGGAAGGCCCTTTGGGGAGGTAGGCTGGCTATTGGTCTGTGCTGGTGGCAATGTGGGGTGATGCCTCTCTCTTCCTGCCCTCAGAACAGCAAGCTCCCATACTACACGGAGGCCTCTGGTTACTCCTGTCCACTCAGGGCCTGTGGAGAACCGGAAGCTCTGGCTGACAGTGCTTCCTGTGTTCTGAGATTTCTCTGTGGTGTCTCCTTTCCCTATCCAACTGGGAGTTCCCTAGAACAAGGAGTCACCTTTCTCCCCATTAGACTGGGGCTCCTAAAGATGGGGCCTGTGTCTTCCTTCTTGCTTTTGCGGAGGCCAGCCTGCAGCTGCATCTCTGGGCAGAGGGCTCCCCATACGGTATAGTGGGGGGCAGGACAAGCCATAGGGTGGCTGAGGGCTAGGGTGGTGGCTGGAGAGTGGAGTACTTGCTTGAGCCTAGGTCTGTGTCCTCTGCCATACCCCAGGGGTGTGCTGGCAGGGCTGGGGGGAGTCATCAGCCCAGAGGTAAGATGGAAAGTGGTGGGGCCAGGCGTGGGGGCATCTGGAGCCATCTGCCCACGAGGGAACCGGGAGCCAGTGGCTAAATGCAGACACGCTGTCATGGTGCTGAGGGCCTGAGTCACTGCTCCTGGATGACAGTCCCTTACCCACCCCCGCTGCCTCCCCCCCCCCCATCCCCGAGGCGTCATCCACACAAATACTGAGTCCTCTGGCTTGGAGACCAATAGAACCCCAAAAGGTCATTGAGGTCATTCCCCTGAGTGCAGCCAGAAGAGTCACAAGGATTTCAGTCCAGGAAGGCATCACACATAGGGAGGCTCTCCACAAGCACAGCTCCCCAAGACCTCGATTGAGGGTTTTTAAATTTTAGTTATTTATTTATTTTTGTGCCAGTACTGGACCTGGCCACCCTTCGGTCGCTTTTTTTTTTAATCAAGGCTGCTAGGCACTCTACCACTTGAGTCACAGCTCTACTTCTGGTTTTTTGGTGGTTAATTGGAAATAAATGTCTCATGGACTTTCCCTTCCTGGACTGGCTTTGAACTTTGATCCTTCAGATCTCAGACTCCCCAGTAGCTAGGATTACAGGTGTGAGCTACAGGAACCTGGGATCCAGTTCAGGGTGTTGGGAAGAATTGGGATCCAGTTCCCCTCAACCAGCCCTTCACCAGACCAGAAACCCACGTCAGAGCTTTTTCTGGAGCCTTGGATGAATAAGGCAGAGGCAGGGCCCTGTCCTCAGGCTCTCCTAAGGAGGAGGAAACTGAAATCCGGAGTAGGGAAGGAGTGGGCAGAGCTTCTCTGCTTTTAAACCAGTTCCTGCCTCCCCAGCCCTCCCCTGCCCTCCTCCGGCTGCCAGGTGCTTGATGCGGAAGAGGGGGAACTCAGGGCTGGGGAGGTGCACTGTGGCTTTGGGAGGAATTTGCCCTGGGCACTGGCTGGCTTGCTTGCTGTCTGTCTCCCCTCGAGCTTCCTGGTGGTCATGGGACCTGGGAGTTGTGCAGGCATTCAGGGACAGCTGTGGCCCCGGGTGGCAGCTGCCCAAACCTGAGACAAGTTTGGGATATCAACAAAGCAGCCATTACCTGTGACTGTGTAGTCAACAGATCCCTGTGGTCAAAAGTAAGGGGCGGGGTGGTCTGGGTCTTGCGGTCCAAGGGCAGAGAAGCAAGCTTCAGCCCTGCCCCTCCGGAACAATACACCTGATTTGGTTCTGAACAGAGACTGTACAAGGCCCCAGGTTTGAACACAAGTGGCTTTCAGGAAGAAAAAAAGAGATCTGTCCCAAATATCTTGCCCAAGTCTTCTGAAAGTCGAATCAAATTAACACTCTCCATTTCCTACCCAAACCGTCCCCCTTGCTAAAGCCTCAGGAGCAGGAGGATTTCCATGGAGGGAAGTTACACTGTGTAAGACAGAGGTCAGTTTCTGCTGTGTGACCTGGGCTGAGAGACTGCACCTCTCTAACTTTTCCATTCATCATCTGCAAAATGAGGATGCTACCCCAATGCAGCTGGCAGAGGAGACAAACTAAGTGGCAGGTGTGGGGGCTCTGGGGATCGGCTGGCACACACACATGTCATCAACTCTCTGGAGGCCTGTGTTTCTATCCTCAGATCTGGGGGAGAGAAGATCTGTGACATTTACCCAGAAGCCCCCAGTCTGAGCAGCAGCCCCTGGGAAGCTGTGGTTTGAGGGGCAGTTGGCTGGGACTGAAGGGGACAGTCACCAAGTTCGATCCAATTCCTCAGCAGGCCCTGGAGGCCTCCACCACCCCTTTCTCCCTCCCCAGCCTCGAACAAGATGCAACTTTCAAAGCAGGACCGTGGCGCTTTGAGTCAGGCAAACCATGGGTGGAGTCCTGCCTCAACCCCTCTGCCTCTGGGACGCGGTTTTTGTCATTGAGACTAAGACTTGATACATTTCTGAGGCTGGCCTGGAACTCCTGGGCTCAAGTGGTCCTTCTGCCCCAACCTGCAGAGTAGCTGGGACTCTAGGCATGTGCCCCCCCATGCCAGCTAGCCAAACGGATCTTGGGCTAAAAAAACAAAAACTCCTCACCACACCATGTTGCAATTTCTTTTGAACAGGACAAAGTGGGTCTCCAGGAGCACTCAGGGTAACTCTGGGCAAGTCAGAGTAGAGTTCCTGACTCGCAGGGTGCAGCCACAGCCTCACTCCCTTGTGCTCCTGCGCTTTCTCCTCTCTGTCCACCTGCTCCCCACTTCTGTGGTTTCTCAACTCCTTCGCTGGCGAGCTGAGAACTCAGAGCCCTGAGCCTCAGCCTCAGTCTTGACCCGCCTCTCCCTCCCAGGCCTGATTCCCAGGCATCCCCAGGAACCTGCAGTGTGGTTGGTGCTGCCCTCTGGGCAGCTCTGGTGTGGGGGGGGGGAGGAGGGGGACAGCCTGCCTGCTCAGCGGTACAGGGGAGTTCTGGCTGGTTTGTCAAGGGCATTCTTAATGGTTTCCTTAACCCTACTGGAGGAGGGGGAGGCGCTGGAGGGTGGAGTGCACACCTGTCCAGGTGCTCAGGAACTGCAAACACAGGCTCTGCTGGGGCTGCAGCGGAACGGATCAACAGGTGAGGGGCTGTAGGAGCAGAGACTCAGACAGGACAAGCCAGGGCCTGGGCAGACAGGGCATGAGGAGGGTGGGGACAGGAGCTGGCACCCCATTTTCACCTTGACGGTCTTTCTGAGGCTGGGGATTTCCACTCCTCTGGACCTGAGGGATAGGCATGGGGACACCAGAGCCATCTCCGGGGGTCCACAGAGAATGTGCCACTGAGGCACAGCGAAGGCTCTGAGGAGAAGCGGCTCAGTGTCCCAAGGGTGGCAGCAGGGGCCACAGCAAGGGAGGGCTTGGTGAGGGCCCAGGGCCTCCACGGAGGTCCCTAGGGGACACCTAGAAGCTTCCAGCCCACTTGGAGGACACAGCCACCCTCCTAGTGACAGAGGCTCGGTCCCCTCCTTTAACGTCTCACACACACACACACACACATGCATACACACACACATGCATACACACATATGCACACACACATGCGCACACACATGCATACATGTGCACACGCACACATGGCCGGGCCATTCCTTCTCTTCCCAAGGTGGACTGCTCCAGAGCCTGGACGTGGTGCTGGCACTGGAGCGGCCTGCCCACGGTCCGGCTGCCCGTCCTCACAGAGCCCATGGAGGAGCTGGTGGGGCTGCGTGAGGGCTCCTCGGGGAAGCCCGTGACTCTGCAGGAGCTGTGGGGCCCGTGTCCCCGCATCCGGGGACGCATCCGACGTGAGAGCTGGGGCCCTCCCCTTCCCATGGAAGACCCTGGGGACACCGCGCCTGGCAGGCTCACCACCCCACCCCACCCCACCCCACCAGCCCCTTCTGCCCCAGGCTCCTGGGTGCAGCAGGGAGGGGCATCTGCCTCCCCTCCGCCCGGCTAGAGGTCGGCCTCTCCCTTTTGGGAGACACAGCCCAAGGCCTGCTCCCCATGTCCACTGGCCCCCACCTGTTCCACGGGGGGCTGCGGTCAGCAGGAGCCACCGCAGGTGGCCGGGGAGCCGTGCCCCTGGCTCCTTCTTTGAACTTGAAGCTCATTGTTCACCTTGATACCGGACTGTCCCTTTCCCTGGGGGTAGAGCAGGCAGGGACCCCAGAGAGAGCCAATGTATAGGCCCCCCAACCCCCACCGCTGCCAGGTACAGAGGCTCCCGACCCCAGCTTCCAGGCTGGGCTGACAAACAGTGGCCAGGGCTTGCTGGGGCCCAGGGGACAGATGGCGCTACAGGCCCTGGGGGAGGCAGGCCCTGCGGCCACTCAGGGGCAGGAAGCCACAGCTTCTCCAGAGATACTGAGCAGGGCTGTGGTGCTGACCCCACCCAGCCCCTGGCACCACCGACCATCCTTCAACAGTGACAAGAGAGGGTGTGGGGTGACATCAGACTCAAGCCCCTGCCCAGCTGTCCTGGCCCAGAGCCTGAGCAGGCCTCCAGGGAAGGGGCTGTCGCGGCACCCCTCCATCTGGGCTGTGTCCCCAATGCCCTGGCAGGCAGCCTGGAGTGGCTGAAGGAGAAGCTCTTCCGCGTGGACGAGGACTGGTACTTCCTGGCCATCCTCGGGGTGCTCATGGCCCTTATCAGCTATGCCATGAACTTCGCCATCGGCCGCGTGGTGCGAGGTAAGCCGGTCTGGCACACACCTGCCCTGGACCAGGGATTCCTGCTCTCTGGGCTGGTCACCAGATCACCCGATGGCCACCAGGGCGGGAGGGAGGGGACTACTCTGCTTGGTCACACCTGGGGCTGGGGCTGGCTTCTCTCCTGCCTTGCTTTGTGTCCCTGTCTGGGACACAGCCACACATCTGCACAATGAGGGATAAGCCTGGTGTCCCAGGAGCCCTTCCCTGTGTGAGCTCTGTGCCCCTCTTCACCCAACCCTGCCTCTTCTCTTTCCCTCCTGGTTCCCAGCTCAGTGATCCTCAACCCAGGCACACAGCTTCCCCCATCCTTCAGAGGGCTCCACCCTGAGGCCTTCCTGGAAGAGTAGGCATGGGCAGGAAGGGCTGGAGACCCTTTTTCTGTGCACTCAGCTGCCATCCTGAGGACCTACTGTCCTATGCGGTTTTCCTCACCCCATCCCATTCAGTTCTCTATTGAGGGACAGAACTTCCTGTAGATTTTAGGACCTGTGAGGAGTCCCCATCACAGCCCACTGGGCAGGTGAGGAAACAGGCTCAGAGAGGTTGAGTCACTTGCCCATAGTCACTCAGGCCAGAAGTAGTCAAGTTGGGACATGGTCCTGGGACCCTCGCTTCATTCTGAGGGCCTGACACACACTGGGTGGCGTGGGGCCCCTGTGTCTGGTGTACTTGGGGGAGGGGGAGCTGCAGAGGCTGTGGTGGCTCCTGATGCCCGGCCCTCCCCAGCTCACAAGTGGCTATATGGAGAGATCGGGGACAGCCACCTGCTGCGGTATCTCTCCTGGACTGTGTACCCAGTGGCCCTCCTGTCCTTCTCCTCTGGCTTCTCCCAAAGCATCACGCCCTTCTCTGGAGGTGAGTCTGCCATCTTGTCTCTGGCCAGCAGGTCTTCACTGCAGTGTCCTCTGGGCCTGTGGGGCTTCTGGGGGACACAGGAATCACCAGCCCCGTTTCCCAGCCAGGGATGCCTGCTTGGAGAGCGGTGTCCGTCCCCCAGGTCACCAAGGGAGAAGGGCAGATGTGGACTCCTGGGCTCCCATGGGCTCTGTCTGCTCTCCTGGGCACGGTCCCCTGCAGAGCCAGAGTCAGTGACTTGTGCCAGGAAGGGGGCTTGTGGTGGCCTGGCGTTGCGCACTGGCTAGATCAGCTAGCCACCAGCACAGGCCAGGAGGGGCAGAAGGGCACAGACAATTCACATGCCCACCATGCGCCTCAGCTTCCTCTCCTGCCAACTGAGGTCAGCAGTCTTCCCTTTGTCGGGTGCCAATGGCTCATGCCTGCAATCTTAGCTACCCAGGAGACTGTGATCTGAGGATCCCAGTTCAAAACCAGCTTGGGCAGCAAAGTCTGAGAGACTCTTATCTCCTATTAGCCAGCAAAAACATGAAATGTTGGGGCTGGAGAGTTAGCTCAGTGGAAGAGCATTTGCCTACAAGTGTAAGACCCTGAGTTCGATCCTCACCGCTAAAGACAAAAACAAAAGACAAAAAATAAACAAACAAAAAACCTATCAATGGTGAAGGGAGAGGGAGGAGGAGGGTAGAGGGCAGAAGCTGCCAGGAAGGCAGGCAGGCAGGCAGGCAGGCAGGCAGGCAGGCAGGCAGGCAGGCAGGCAGGCAGGCAGGCTGGGTCTTTGCCTAGCACACATGAAGCTCTGGGTTCAACTCCTCAGTACCACATAAGCAGAAAAAGCTAGAAGTGGCTCTGTGTTTCAAGTGGTAGAGTGCTAGCCTTGAGCAAAAGAAGCTCAGAGACAGTGTTTAGGCCGAGTTCAAGTCCCAGGACTGGCAAAAAATAAAAATCTAAAGTTTAAACGTGAGTACTGGTACACACACACACACACACACACACACACACACACTCACACACACACACACACACGGAAAAGAAAATGAAAATGAAGGAGAGAGAGGGAGAGACAGAGAGCGAGAATCCCCTCCTTGTAGGGTATGAGACGCAGAGAAGATAGGATAGTTCCATTGAGAGTGTGGAAGGGGGGGGACGGAGAGCAAGGAGATTTAATCTAGACCTTGACCCTCTTGTCCTGCCCATGCCACCAAGGATCTGGAATCCCGGAGCTGAAGACCATCTTGTCAGGTGTGATTTTGGAGAACTACCTGGATATCAAGAACTTTGGAGCCAAGGTGGCTGGTCTCTCCTGCATGCTGGCCACGGGCAGCACCATCTTCCTAGGCAAAATGGTAAGAGCAGGAGAGAGGCCCCTCACCCCACCCCCACCTCCTCCTCAGCCTTCCCTGTCCCCACCACAGCCAGTCCCACCTGGGGAGCTGAATGCAGCCAGGTGCCCAGTGTGAGCAGAGTCACGTGCCCCTGGAGATGGCTAGGAAGGGAGCGTGGGTGGAACAGGCATACTTGCTGTGCATTAGGCCTTCAGCTTCCTTCATGGAAGCTCAAAGAGAAGAATGGGAGGATGGTGAGGGTAGAAGGAAGGAGGAGGGATTAATAGTAGGAGGAAAAGGAGCAAGGACCCCCCTCTCCAGGGCACAGGCCACATGCCCTGCACCCACCTCACCCCTACAGGGCTCCTTCGTGCACCTGGGTGTGATGATTGCAGCCTACCTGGGCCGGGTACGCACCAGGACCATTGGGGAGTCTGAGGTGAGGGGCTCCGGGAGGCCCTCCGTGGAGAGAGGGGATGGTGGGGGGTGGGGAGAGTGGCTCTGAACCCAGGTCCTGATTCCCCAGAACAAGAGCAAGCAACATGAAATGCTGGTGGCAGGAGCCACAGTGGGCTTTGCCACGGTCTTTGCAGCCCCCTTCAGCGGTGAGACCCTTCCTCCAGGCCTGATCCTTAGTACTGCCTATGTCCCTCCCCTGCCCCTTCCCATGGTGCTGTGCTGTCAGAACCAATCAGGTGACTCCTTTATAGGTATGGGGGGGAGGGGGTGTCTTCCAGTTCCCACTGCTGTCTGCAGGGTGGGCTGATGTCCAGTTGCTCATCCCCGCCCCCCACCCCATACATGGGTTTGGAAACCAGCTGTTGGTGCGGCCCTGGGCAGCCAGTTCACCGCCTGAGCTGCGTGTCCCCCCAGGCGTCCTGTTCAGCATCGAGGTCATGTCCTCCCACTTCACCGTCTGGAATTATTGGAGGGGCTTCTTCGCTGCCACCTGTGGGGCCTTCACCTTCCGCCTCCTGGCAGTCTTCAACAGCGAGCAGGGTGAGAGCTCCTCTCCCCTGTCTTCTCCTCCCCCTCCCTCCTCTCCCTGTCTCGGCTATGTCCCCCCTCTCTTTCACTTCTTCCCCCCTGCATCTCTCAGAGGACAGAAGGGGCTGAGCTGTGCCAGGCAGCAAGAGGGAGGAAGAGGGTAGAGGGCAAAGCTGGCAGGAAGGCAGGATGGCATGATGGCAGGCTGGGTTGTGGGGTTTGGGGTCAACACTGCACCTCCAGCCCTGCCTGTTCCTTTGGGACCCAGTGTGGTTGAGAAGGGCTTGACCTCTGACCCCACTGCTCTCCTCCCCCAGAGACCATCACCTCCATCTACAAGACCAGCTTCCCTGTGGATGTGCCCTTTGACCTGCCTGAGATTTTCTTCTTTGTGGTGCTGGGGTGAGCAGGGTCTCAGGCCCTGAGAGCCTGACTGTGGTCTCTTCCCAGTCTGACTGGGCTGGGGGTGGGGTGGGGGGCTAGGGACTCAGCTGTCCATGTCCCCAGGGCCATCTGTGGTGTCCTGAGCTGTGCTTACCTCTTCTGCCAGCGAACCTTCCTGGGCTTTGTCACTACCAACCGCTTCACTGCCAAGCTGCTGGCCACCAGGTGGGTCAGGGCCATGGTGGGCCCCTCAGGAAGCCCATTACCCCTAGTCCTTCACTGAACTCCTGTCCTCCCATGGACCCCCAACCCCTCCCACTTATACAGTCCCCATTCCCTCTCCCTAAGCCCTTGCCTTTCAATTGCGCCAACTTCTTAACCTCTCTCTTCTTGGGGTTCCCTCTCCTCACTAAGCCCTGCTTCCTCTCCCCCTGACTCCTATGCCACAGGCCCTTTGTTTTTCTCTCTCTCTTTCCCTCCCTCCCTCCCTTTTCTTTTCCACTCCTCTCTTCCCTCTCCCCTCCATTCCCCTCCCCTTCCCTCCCTCCCTCCCTCCCTCCTTCCTTCCTTCCTTCCTTCCTTCCTTCCTTCCTTCTTGTCATGGGCTTTGAACTCAGAGGCCTGCTCTCCCTGAGCTCTTTTGCTTAAGGCTAGTACTATAATCTAGCACTTTGATTCACAGCACCACTTCTGGTTTTCTAGTGATTAACTGGAGTTAGACTCTCATGAACTTTCCTGTGGGGGCTGGCTTTGAACCACAATCCTCAGATCTCAGCCTCCTGAGCAAGCTAGGATTACAGGTGTGAGCCACCAACACCAGCTAGGCCCTTGGTTTTCTCCAGCCTTTTCTGCCTGGACCAGAGAGGCAGAGCCCCTCCATGGGCTGGCATGGATCTGTCCTTGGTCTCTGTCCCAGCTTTAATCAGTCCAGCTTCCTATCACCTCCAATCTCCTGGGCCCACCTCACCTGTCTTATCCCTGAGGGAAAGGGGTGTCTTCCCTGGTCCCTCCTTCCTCCTCCCCCATCCTCAGTCCCTGCCTGCCCCTTCCTGAGTAGCCCATTTCTCTCCATGTTTTGGGGGAAGGAGAGGGGCTGGCACTGGACCTCCTTTGTCCACAGCAAGCCTGTGTACGCTGCCCTGGTTGCCCTGATTCTGGCTTCCATCACCTACCCACCTGGCGTGGGTCACTTCATGGCTTCCCGGGTAAGGGCTGAGGAGGTAGAAGGTCACCGTGTGTTCCCCCTTTGTGGCACTGCCTCACTAACCCCCATACCATGCAACAGAGATGCTTACACATGCTTTTCTAGAGAAGAGCACTAAGCTCAGGGAGGCCAGAGCCTGCCCAGTCCCCCCGGGGGGGCGTGGGGAGAGGCAGAGTAGCACTGAGGTTGGGTTGGGAGACATGGTGAGGACATACTGAAAGCCCACCGGCCCTGCCCAGCTGTCCATGGAGCAGCTCTTGGATTCGCTATTTGACAACAACTCCTGGGCATGGATGACCCAGAACTCATCCCTACCTTGGACTGCCGAGCCTGACCCCCAGAACCTGTGGTTGGAATGGTACCACCCACGGCTCACCATCTTTGGGACGCTAGTTTTCTTCCTGGTTATGAAGGTGGGTCCCAGGTGTGGGCAGAGCCAAGGCCAGCTCTTTCTTAGGGTGACGTTCCTTTTCTGGGTTGTTACCATGCCAGAGATGGCGATGAACCAAGGCATGGACACCCTTTTCTCTCGGCCCTTCCAGCTCTTTTCCCACTCTCCCTCCCCACCCCTCCCCCTTGTGGCATCTAACTTCCTCCAGTGAGCACTGTCTCCCCACAGTTCTGGATGCTCATTCTGGCCACCACCATCCCTGTACCTGCTGGGTATTTTCTGCCCGTGTTTGTGTATGGTGAGTCTGAGGACTGATGGTCTGAGAGTCGGGGGGGGGGCATTGCAGGAGAGCAGTGGCACTCAGCTCTTCTTGGCCCTCAGGGTGGTGCTGAGCATGGCCCCAGAGACAGAGGGCTGAGGGCCAGGTCAGTCACCATGGTAGTCTGATGGCACTCATGACTGATGGCAGTCATTCGTCTGTGGCAGGAGCTGCTATTGGGCGCCTCTTGGGGGAGGCTCTGTCTCTCGCCTTCCCTGAGGGCATCGTGGCTGGAGGTGTCATTAATCCCATCATGCCTGGGGGCTATGCTCTGGCAGGTAAGTGCCCTGGGCTAGGTCGGGTGGGCAGACCTCCTGGGGATGGGCTGTAGTGGAGAGAGGGTGCTAGTGAGGGCACAGGGGGTGTCACTGAGTGTCCAGATCCCCCTCCCTTCATGCGGCTTCCCTGACCCCAGCCTCCTCACTCCTCTGGTCTCTGGCTTCTCCATCCCACATGCTCTCCTTTATCCCTCTCCTCTCCCCAAGTCAGGTACAAGGCAGGTCCAGCAGTGGCCAACATGGGTCCTCTGGGCATTTGCAAGCCCAGCCTTGGGAAAAGCCATGCCCACCTTGTCCCTGGGAGAGTCTGACCCCTGGATTGAACGACTTTGCCCTGGCTCTGCCTCCTCCTCCCCAGGAGCTGCGGCCTTCTCTGGAGCGGTGACCCACTCCATCTCCACGGCGCTGCTGGCCTTTGAGCTGACCGGCCAGATCTTGCACGCCCTGCCTGTGCTGATGGCGGTGCTGGTGGCCAATGCCATTGCTCAGAGCTGCCAGGCCTCCTTTTATGATGGCACCATCATTGTCAAGAAACTGCCTTACCTGCCATGGATTCGGGGGCGCAAGATCGGGTGAGCAGGCTACCTGAGGCTTGCTGACAAGGGAGAGGGTTTCCTGGGGGGCGGCGATAGTGGAGCCTCAAGAATCACCACTGAGGCTGACCTTGAACCTGGGCGTGGGACGGATGAGTCATGGCTGCCCCTGGTCTCTAGTCTTCCCAGTGGCCCGATGGCTGTGTGAGGATGCTGGGATTCAAGCAGGCCTGGGTCTTACACAAGGTCTCATAGATCAAGGTCACATCACAGCCAGGGCTCCCCTCCCCCTCTGCTCCTAATCTGCCATCCTTACAAGCAGAGATGGTCTGGGCCCACTGCAGTCTGAGGCCCAGAAATCAGACCTGGTCTCCAGATTCCTCCCTGGGGGGTGGGATGAGGCGGGCACTCACTCAGGAGTCTCCCAGCCTCCACCCTGGCTTGAGAGATGCTCAGGTCCTGGGCCAGCAGGGCTCCCCATGTGCCCTGCCTCACCTGGGGGCTGACACCCCTAGCCAGGACCTGATGGAGCCTCCCTCTGCCCCAGCTCGTACCCCACGACGGTGGGACACTTCATGAACTGTGCCATCACCACCCTGGCCAAGGACACCCCGCTGGAGCAGGTGGTCAAGGTGGTGACCTCCACAGATGAGGCCCAGTATCCCTTGGTGGAGAGCACAGGTGCCTGGCAGGAAGGGGTGGCTGCCTGGGAGGGGCGGGATGCCCTTGGCCTTGCTCTGAGCCTGAGTGTC